ACAGGAGCTTCCAGTGTAGAAGAAAGTACAAACATAGTGCAGACATACATGATAGTGCAGACATACTAACACAGTACACAGTAGGGATGTAATATAACACTAATATAATAAAAAAAGAAAAATTAAATAATGTACAGAAATAGAAAATAGAAGTATAGGAACAAAATTAATTGTTTAGATAAATGTACAGATATGTTTATTAGTGTGCAGATATGTTATTTACAAAGTGTGCAGTTTAATATAAGTATAACTATGTTAGTTGTGATGGACGATGTATAATTATGAAAGATTAATTGTTCAGACTGAATATACCCTGTGGGAAAAAACTGTTCTTGTGCCTGGCTGTTCTGGTGGTCAGTGCTCTGTAGCGCCGACCAGAAGGCAACAGTTCGAAGAGAGAGTGGGCTGGGGGTGAGGGGTCCAAGTTGATTTTTTTAGCCCTTTTCCTCACTCTGGAGATGTAAAGATCTTGGAGGCTGGGCAGAGGGGCACCAATACTCCTCTCAGCAGTCCTGACTGTCCGTTGTAGTCTTCCAGACAGCCAGCTCTTTAACCTGCTGTCTGTAAGCAGACTCGTCTCCGTCCTTGATGAATGATATATATTATATATAAACACATATAATTTTATTTAATTATTTTTACAGTGAGGAGGATGTGATTCGTCATGCAGCAGCACAGATAAACACCAGAAAGACATCTGAAATCTATCACGAGATAACACGTCTGAAGTTGTGGAAACGTCAAAAACAGGAAGCCCTGTATGTCCCTTGAAAATCACCTTCCTTGGAGAGCCTGTAAAAATAAATAAATAAAATTATTTGTATATAAAGCTAAAAACAATAAAGCAAAATGTTCTTTATTTTGTAGGTGTTTTTTTAGTTTGTTAGTTTTTTAATGTGAGTCACTATTACCATTACCTCTCTCCACAAAGGCTGGCATGGCAGTTCTACTTCTGACACTGGAAATGTTCCTGTGCATATCGGGCACTGGGCTTCAAGTGCCTTCACATTAAAGACAAAAATGTATGCAGGGCAAATTTTGTAAAATAGGAATCAATAATTGACAATGTTCGCTTTAGCTTTTGCTTGTGTATGTCACGAATCCGGTCTATGAACTTCAGTTCACTCACCACCAGAGGTCACCCTTCCATTACATTGACTCTCGCACTACACAAACTCTTGCATGTCATCCCGGACTACATATCCCATCATCCATTGCACTGATTGCACACAGCACTGATTGCACACAGCTGTAACCAATCACACATTCACTATATAACACTCACTCAGATCCCTTTCAAACTGCCGAGTATTGTATGCGCATATTGCTAGTTGAGATAGCTACGTTACGGAGCCTTCTTGAAGTTTCATAGTCTTAGCCTAGTCTTGCCTTGTCTGATTCCTCGTGTTCTGATCTTTGCCTGTGCACTTTGGATTACCTCTCTCGTCTTGCCCTGTTCGGATACTGTTTGCCCCTGCCTGGACCTTTGCTTTGTACCTGGATTATCTCTCTAGTCTCGCCCCATTGGATTATGTTCGTCGTCGATTGACCCTCACTGTTTGGACTGCCCATGCCTTGTCTCTTACATACTGTTTGCCAATGTTTGATTTATGCCTGTTTCTGACCACGTCTCCAGAATAAAGCTTTTCACATGGATCCGCACGTCTCACGTCTCGTCTGCCCCGTAACAGAATACTCAGCCACACAAGGATCCAGCAGCTTTTCCCATGGACATTGGCCAGGTATGGACACTGCCAAACTATTATTAGCCTTAAAGCAGGGTACACGCCCGCTTGAAGGCTATATTCAAGAGTATCTGGACATTGCGTGTCATTCTGATTTGCCAGACTGTGTGCTAATAGACTTTTTTTGTGATGGAGTAAATCACGATTAATCCATGAGGGTCCCTGTTCTTCTCTAAGCTATTTTTTTGATTTTGCTCTGCTGTGTGTCGACTCCGTGTTCACGGTGGGTGTTGCGGAGAAACATGATGCCGAGTCCACTTGTGTAATGGCGGCCACACTAGAGCACGCTCACAAAATGGTGGCGACAGCGGAGTTTGATCGCAAAATGGCGGACGCAACAGCACCCCATTATGTCACAGCTGATCTTCGTGAGGCAAGTCAAGTCACACCTGATCTTCATGAACCAAGTCAAGTCACAG